TGGAACAACGGTCTGGTTTCTTACGTTGTGAAACTTGGTTCTCATGGAATTATTCCTTTCTTTGAAAGGTCATGTTAAAGCGTGAATGTCCATTTCAACATCTTCAGCTGCGAGGACTTCATTTTGATGATAGATGACAGTCACAGCGTTTCTTCTACTGCTGTTCTTTCCCATGATGTTTCATGTTTAGATCGAAAGATGGAACGTGAGTGACCAGACCTCAACTGGACAACCTGAAATTGAAATCGAAAGTTGACGGTTGATGGTTTGGCGTTCAGTCGACTGTTCCCTTTTACTTGTGAGCTACAGCTCGCTGCATGGGCATACGTACGATCGGGTCGACGGCAAGCGTGAAGAAGAGAAACTTCTGTTCGTACTTTTGTATCTCTACATGAGTTTGAGCTGTAACGAGGTATATCACGCTTTCGGTGATCGTAGTTTTTGTAGACGTTGATGAGGAGTTTCGTTTACTTTTGATGAGGATGGTGATGAGGTTGATTTTTGCATCGTTTCTTCGTTTTGTCATGTGCCGCTTTGCTTCGCCTCGCTTCGTCCTAGCTGCAGTTCGCTGTTTTCGTTACACATGAACCGTGCTTGTTTTAGGCATGCGTTAAAATAGCCTTTGCGACTTTGCCTAGCTGGTTTTAATGTCAGGCTTTAGTCCGAGCGAATCCCCTGCTGGAATTTCCACTGAACACGTGCCGACGTTGCTGTGCGATCATGGCTTTCTGAAGCGAATGGCCGACGACACTTCGAGTGCCAGCCGTTTCAAACCAATCAAATTCGACCCAAACGAGGTGCTGAAGAAACCGCGTATTACGTTTTTGGATCCGGGCGACGACGAACCCGGTACCGACATCGGCATCGAATCAGTGCTTGACCAGAGCGGGTCGTCCGACGAACCTGACGAATTGGTAATGGCCGACGAATTAAAGACGAACTTTTCGATGTTGATGCACAGCAACGGGATGCACAAAGCGTCCAACTGCCCGAAGGTAATCATTTCCAAGAAGCTGATGATCAAAAATCTGATAAGTATGTGCGCAGACACTGACATAATATCCGTCGTGACATTGACGTCCCGTGTTTAGTTGAACCAGCGGTCCCCGTTGACGATGTCGGCGACTACGCCGAGTCAACGTGGAAACGTTTGGAAGAAGCAGTCAAGGCGATCCAGCATCGTCAGTTCGTCGCGACCGGTTTCGAAGAACTATTTCAGGTGACATTGGGGATTTATGGCGCTGTCGAGCGAGCTTTTGCTCCTTTCGTCACGTCCCCTGATGTTTTTCCGTCCCCTCTCCTGTTCTTCTTTGTGGCGTTTCTTACCTCGTCTTTATTCTCCTTCTCTAGTGCGATCATTTTCTTATGCTGATCCTTCGTTGCTTTCTGTTGTTCTTTTATCTTCCTCCTCATACTGGTCAGTCACCTCCGCTTTCGCACTATCGCAGTTCTCTTTTTTGTTACTCGTCTGCTGTTAAGGGAGAGGTAGAATTTTTTACGCATGAACGGGTCAAAATTAGTTGTGAAATGACATAATTTAGCACTTATTTTTCAACAGCCTCCACTGTTTCGAATTATTTCTTGATCCGTTTGCGTTAAGTGAAATAAAATGAAGTGAACTAAATGTTGGTTGCATTGTCAAATGTTCATTCTCAATCGAGGAAGCTTTCATCGATTAATTCTGATTAGAACTTCATCCTTTCCCTTGTCCTTGTTCTTTCATTTTGTTAGATTGAATGCCATCGTATGCTTCAACAGTCAAAATCCTATAATGTGCTTGAAGATTACGTCTGTTGAATGGAATCGTGAAAGACGCCATTTTCAAAATTACCACACCGTGGCTCTAAGAAGTATTTTTGATCAAGCCATAACTTTGAACTGTTTCCTTTAGCACAACGTCCTTGAATTGTGAAGTTCGCTGTATTCGCAGCTTTTCAACACTTTCTGTAACACACGAGCTACTACAGCGCAGAAATAGAGACTTCTCTGTGATAGCAGGTATGTCTCTGTCTCTTCTTCCATGTTGCATGCTGGCCTCCTAGTCGTTTTCTGCTGCGTTTCAGCTCTCAAATGAGAAGCTCACGGGCTGAAGGAAATGGTGTACGCTCAACCAGTTTTTCTAGCAGGATTAACCTCCATTTTTTAGTCTCCTCATTCGTTAGAGTCACGTGTGCCCTGGAGAGAATATAGCATTCCTTACGTGATCTTTCCATATACCATCGTTTTGCGTCGATGCCAACGCTGTTGTACGCACTTCAGCGGTGGTTCTTGTTCATTCATTACAACAGTTGTCTGCACGCCGTACAACAACAGTGACCTGACAGAAGCAATCTAAAAGCGGATTTTCATGGGGAGATTCGCAGTTCACTTATTGTAGATGTTTTCAAGAGCACCCGAGGCTAAGGTTATTTTCATATTTAACTGGTTGGGTAGTGCCATTGTTGAAGATGATGGAATCGAGATGCTTAAATCGGTAAACCTCCTGAAGTGCTTCGTTTTCCTCTTCCACTTTTAGCTCGGTAATGCCATATCGGTTCCTCATAACTTTCGCCTTTTATGCGTTTAGGAAGAGGTCGTCTTTCGCAGCTATGTTGCATACGGAAGCCGTCAAGTGACAGAATCCACTGCCTGTCTCATCAGCGAGGTTATCTAGTCAGATATTTTGAACGGTACCATTCCTCTAGAATGAGACCTTCTTTGACAGGGTTAGAAACAGGACACTGTTTCGAAGGAGAAAGTTTAGAATAATCTTGAATGGCAAAAACCAATCAAGCTTATTTCCCTGTGGAACATCACATTTGATAGTGAACCACTCAATCAGCTCTCCTTAAACTTTGCCAGCACTCATGGTTCCTGCATACATCTCTTCCAAAATAGTAACGAGATATCCCATAACATTTCAAGATTTTCCACATCGTCAGACAATATAGTGAATCAGATGCATCCTTTAGTCTAAGACACTCTCAAATCGAGGCAGCTGGAATCTTGAATTGCTCAGTGATGCTACACAGAGTGAAAATTTGGTCAGGATAGCAGTATTCCACCCGGAAGCCTGTTCAGTTTTGTCAAAGTTTCGTATTAGTTGCCTGCCTCAGTCTTTTCAGGATAATCCAGGAGAAAAGTTTTCCGCGATACTATGATAATTGTGGAACACTCGGTCGCCCGATTCTCTGAATATCCAGACATTTACTCAACACTTAATTTTTCGGGGATCGTTTGGAGGTTCACATTTGATGAAACAGTGCGTGAAGCTTTTTTACCCTATCCCGTTCCTCCATACGTAATTAACTCAGATACAGTTCGATCCACCCGTAGGCATTCTTCAGAGTATAGCAGAAGTTACTGGTGCGTTTACACAATTTCCGGGGTTTACTCGTGTTTTGTCGTAACGATCCGCAGGTCTTAAAAGAAAGTTTTGAATTAAGTTCAAATATCCGCAGCTTGCTAGGAAACAGTATGCAGAGGACTTGGCAGCCTTAGTGTATCCCTGAACGAAACAATATACTGTGACATAAAATGACTGAAGTATGCTAGGAAAGGAATTTCTTTGGCCGGAAGAAAAACGAGATCCTTATCCTTTTTTCTAACGAATGTCTGACCAAGGGCGCTGCTGTCGAAGTAAGCGCTTATTGTGATCGAGAAGTAAATCAGCTCCCATTGCCGAGTTGGAAATGTTTGGGGTGCAGCTCTTACTTGATTGTTTACCGTTTATGTTGGTTTGACTCATTGCAATCACTGAAGATGGAGAATCTATAGGTCGAAACATCGGAGGAATATTGTATGATAACATCCACTATCTGATGTCATTTTGTAACAGATTTGGTTCTCACCATTCTCAGACTGCTGTCCATGGCTTGTCTGCAGTCTTCATCTTGCTTCCTTTTTTCACACAGTTCACTCGTTTAACATCTCATCTCATCACACCTCATTCTGTCTTTGCTTTACTTCACAGCATCATTTCCTCTCCTGTTTCGTTTCTTTTTCCTCCTTTGTTTTCTCCCCTTCGTGACCCGCTTCCTCTTCTCTTTCTTCTGCCTTCCCCAACCGCACTTTTTATACTTCTATTTGTCCCTCGCTGTCCCCCTTCCATGCTTCTCCCTTTGCTTTTAATTTTCGTCCTCCATCTGCTGCTTTTGCCTTTTCTCTTCCTTCTCTTTCCTTTCTCCTTATGCTTTACTCTCTTTTATTTCCCTTACGACTGTTCGCATAACCAAAATAACGCTTAATGGTGAGCACTTGCTTAAATAGCAGGTGCGTTGCTTGAACAGGTAAACATATTCTTCCTCGGTTCCTTCTTTTTTTTCTTCATCGGCTTCATCCCCTTCTTTTTTCCCCTTTCTTTGTCCTCTTTCCTGCTTCTTTTTCTTTTATTTTGGACTGTTCTGTTTTTCTTACCTTTCTCTTTGGCTCTTGTCAGTCCGTCCCACTTGTTCTTCAGCTTCTGTTTCTTCTGCATTTCCCTCCCTGTTCCATACTCTTCCCCCTTTCCTAATATTTCTACCTCTTCCCCACGTCTCCTTCTGCTTTACGCCCCCTTTCTTGTAGTTATGGATTCCCTTCTCCTTTCTTGGTGCTCTTTTATCTCTTTACCTGTGCTCATTTTGTTTCGTTTGTTCTTCTCCTTTGTCTTATTTCTGTTCATTTATTTCTGTCTCATCCATTTCCTTTCTGCTTTCATCATTTACTTCTTCTCTCTTGGTCCCTCTGATTTTTCTCCTTAACCCTCTATTGTTTCTCGTCGTTCTCTTTTCGCTTGCCTTCACCAAATTTATCTTTCCTTCTCGTTTTTCCCCTTTACCTGTTGTTTCTCATTTTTTCTTATCCTTCAGTTTGTTTGTCATCTCGTCTGTTCTTTGTCGTAGTCGTCTTTTGCCTTATAATTTTGCACTGCTAGTCGACTTTACTTGTGCTTTTTTATCCTTCTTCGACTACCTGTCTTCTATTTCACTTACGGCCTTTCCTGCTGCTTTTCTTTCGTCTTCATTTTTTGTTCCGTTGCTTTCACGCTTCTTTATCTTTCGCTTATCCTTGCACGCCTGGTATTTCTGCATTATTCTCGCGCTTCCTTCTGCTGGTCTGTCCCATTCTCATTTTGCGTTTCTCTCGCTTTCTCACTTCCTTCCCTCTCCTTTTGTATTTTCTTTCCTTTCATACCTTATTTTCTCTTTTCCTTTTCTTATGCTTCTTCTGTTTCCCTTACTTGAGATTTTCGTTCTACTTTGTCTTCTTTTTCTCCTACTTTCTATTCGTCTCTCATGGTCCCTGTTTCATTCTCCATTCTCCCTACGTTTTCTCTTATCTCCTACCATTTCTTCCTCATCCTTTTTTCCTTTCTTTTCCATATTCTTTGCATTCCCTTTTATTTCTTGTACTCTGTCCTTCTCTCCCTTTTGCATTTTGCTTTCTCATCTTTTTGTTTTCCCTTTTGCCTTGCTTGAACTCTTTTCATATCTTATTTTACTTTCTGTCTTCTAGCTGTTCACCTTTTCTTCCTTCCCATTCTTTTGCCCTTCTTTTGCTTTTCTTTCTTTTGCGAAACGTTTAAAGCCAAATGTTTAGTCTGTGGACAGTTTGTGTGCAAACGATCAAGCAGAGTGGCTTTATGAGCGGCTTCGCGTGCTGTGTGAGGAACATATCCGGTACGACTTGCGGCAGTTCCTTGATTCCTCGTTAGACGGCGAGACGTTTCTGAAACAACTGAATTCTTGCTGGCAGTGGCACTGCGATCAAATGGTAAGGCAAACGGTTTTTGGCTCTGTTTGTTTTTTCCAGTGGGCACATTCGTACGTCTATGCTGGCGCATCTTCGTATGCATGTCTTCATATTTTAAACCATAGTTGCTCTCCCTTGCGAATGCGCATATAACGTATATTTGGGAAACCGACAACAGCGTCGAAGATAAAAACCATCCCCATTCTTATCTTTCGAGGCTAGACATTGCCGATTTAGGAGATGGTGGCAAAGATCATTAAAGAAAGAGAAAGCATGCGAACGACCCGGCGGAAATTAAAAGAGAATGCGAAAGAATTCTGCAGTGATTGAACATGAGGTAAAAATTGTCATGCGGTTGATTGGAAAAGCATGAAATTGTATGGCATGAAGGGAACTACCAGAAGTGGGAGAATAAAGAAGCGCTCTTGATGCAAGCATCCTAGTGTCTGAACGGAGACAGCGTTGAGGACTTGTCATCAATCTGAAAGAAGATGATTGTCTCACTGTCTCAATTACATCTAAATCTGTTGGCTTGAACTGCATTTCTTTGGCTGCATGTTCACCTTGGGATCTTTCACTCTGGTTATTTCACAGTATGCCTCGTCATTGGTGACATCGTTTTTGCACTTGTTACGTTATACCTTGAAGATGGATCCAATACAGGAAACGTTGGAAGTTTTTTAAATAAAATTTATATGCTGCGTATACCGTTTGAAGATTTTGGCTATGAAAGGTTTGAAAATATAGCTAGTTTTGTGTTTGCTCAGTTTAAACTTGAGACACGACCGCTGCTATTTTGCGCATTCGCTGAAGAGTTTCATAACTTATCTGATGTCTACTGGTTTTTCCTATGGCTAATTTACCTTTAGGTTGTGCGTAATACCTGTTTGTTAGTGAAAGGGGGTAGGTCAGCCATATAACGGTGAATAATTGCTATTGGTTGTTTGACGACGAACGACGTTGTTTAATTTGTCCGTAGTTACGTCTTGCATTTGTTTGTAGATCATGATTCGGAGCATATTTCTTGTTCTCGACCGTACTTACGTTGTGCAGCATTCGTCTGTGCTGTCGATATGGTATGAGAGACTGACGAAACGGTTTGCCTATTAGCTGCAACGTTTTTGATTTCAGGGACATGGGACTGGATCTGTTCCGCAACGTAATAGTCAAGGACGTCGCAGTGGAGCAGCGGACTGTTGACTGCATTCTGCAGATGATCGACCGCGAGCGGCACGGTGATACCGTCGACCGCCTGTTGCTAAAGAGCCTACTGCGAATGCTGTCAACCCTGCAGATATATGCGCCAATGTTCGAGGGTCGCTTCCTAACTTCTACGGCGCAGCTCTACGCGGCGGAGGGCCAGGACCTGGTGCAGAAGCAGGACGTAGGCATCTTTCTCGCACCGCACTTTCTACTTCGTAAATTTTTACGCATCACTGTCACACTTTTCTAGGTGCCGTCCTACCTTGCGCACGTCAAGAAGCGCCTCGGCGAGGAGCTGGAAAGGGTCTATCAGTACCTGGACTATTCGACGCGAAAGGCTCTGATTTCCTGCGTTGAACACGAAATGATCGCGAAGCATGTCGACGTCATACTGGAGAAAGGTCTCGTAGTTTCGTAGCTGTCTAAGGAAACTTGATGTCGTGGAATACGTGAATAATGATAGAAAACTTTTACTTGAAATATTTTCACAGGAAATCATTCATGTTTAGATGAGACTGGGTTTTATCCGGAGTTTTCAGCCTTCATCAGTCAAATAATGAAACTGATTGATCTTCTGCTCTCACTTTTATGTGCAAACGTCTGCGGTTTGATGCTATGCCAATATCGGCTCTGGCGAACAGGCGTCGTTTTGGCCGTCTGCCGTCTCGCATTCGTCTTTTTTGTATAGGTACCCTCGAAATGGCCTTTTATTCCTCTACGTCGGATTGGAGCGGCTTCTATCTTGCAAGCTTTTTCTCTAGCGTAATCCTTGTTTTTGACATTTCCAGTCCGCAGCCCCAAGTAATGACATTTTCCGTTGTCTGAATTAGGAAGGCTTCTGATGCGATATTTTCGAAGGTTTATGCTAACATCACAGTAGGTCTTGTACCGTGATTTGTTGTTCAGTCGTAATATGATGATGGGCTGAACCAGAAGTTATTTCCAACTTTTGCAATGCTCCTTGGCCAGCGACCGCTCGTTTCTTGACTCGCTTGTACTCAGCAAATCTTGCTCGTATAAAATGAGTTGCTTAGTCGGTGGCGTAAGGGAAACATCAGTGTGCAGATAATTATTTGAATCTTAAATCTAAGCACTTCTTGCCACAAAGGCCGGAATTTTTTAAATGTCTAATGGATGCCGCACACCACCTGTGTTTCAGCACTAAGGCTCGAAAAGAAATAAAGTATGTCTACGAAGCACTGGAATTAAGCGGACACCATAGAAGATCATCCGGAAGCATCGAAGCGTAGAAGTGGACAAGAACTTGAACCGAAGCAGGACCCCGTATTTACGATCTGCTTACTTTTTTTCTGGTTTGCCGGAGTCTGTTAGGCTGATAATGAACTCAGCAAACACCAGAGTTACATTCAAGTTTAAGGAGAAGCCAAGATCACTACTAACGATGATAAAACACCGAATTCCGCTTGAAGACTCAGCGGATGTTGTGTACCAACTGAACTTATATGTTGACTAGACATCAAGGCCATTGCCAGTCAGAGTTGCGTTGCACAAGTGAGCCAGCTAAGGAGCGGTCGAGAACCAAGAGACGTTGCGAAAGTTGGATGTAACTTTGGGACCGACCCATCATCATATCACAACTGGATATCACATCAAATTTGCGGGAATATGACCCATTGCAGTAGCATGGAATGTCTTTGACATGATATTGTTAGAAGTCTTTCTGTTTCAAACCACTGAAAATGTTATGACTCCGGGCTGTGAGCTTTAAATGTCAAATGCATTAATTGGCCTAAAGAAAAGGGTTGAAAGGTAGAAGTCACTCCAGTGTGATGTAGGCGAATGCATTTCGTTTCATTGGTACCTACTGAAAGGACGAATGCAGAACGGCAGATGGTTGAAACGAAGCTTGTTGAACAGAGCCAATATTGACATAGATAGCATCAGATCGCAGGCCTTTATAAAAGCAGCGGAATATCAGTCATTACCTGTCTGATGAAGGCTGAAAACTCCGGCTGAAACCTAATTTCATTTAAAGATGAACTTTTCGTGTGTTAATATTTCAAGTAAAGGTTTCCGATCGTTTTTCATGGTTTTGCCTAGTTCGTCTGCTCATAGCCGAAGCGATTACGTTCTAAGAACTTAAATTTGCGACAGCGTTGGAATGACTGAACACCCTGCAAAGTAAAGCTTTCGTGCTTATGAAAGTTTTTCTGGCGTACTACGGACAATATCTTATGACTGTGTTTCAGTTTATTAGCTGTTCCCTTAGAGGGTATACATTCTCTTTACCTTATGTCGCTTTCACGGAAATTTTGACGATTTTTGAAGCACTGGATTTAAAGTCAACTTTATAGATAACACTTATTTCTTCATTTATGAACAATATTTCATAAAAGCTGTTAGTAAGGTGAAAATTCGTAAATCGAAAACAAAATTCTCAGTAATTTCAGCGTAAAAAGCTGACTGTTTCCCAACTATCTGAAAAATTACTCGGTGTTTTCCGTTGTGCATTCGTCAACCGCATTTAATTGCTGTTTTCAGTAGATCATCAATGCACGAACGAAAAGAATCAAAAATAAAAACAGTAGTTTTTCGGGGTTATATCTTGTGCTAATTATCATACTATAAGGTGAGCTTTCAGATGGATCAACAACTGACTTTCGCATCGGACAGCATGGCCATACATATCCTCCCTATGGTACGAAATACCACAGTACCATACTGTCCCTGTTGTTCGCGAGTCAACGACTTAACTGGTTACTTTGTAGCAACGTGGGACAAATTCCCTGCTGAAGGGAATTCTTGGAAGACAAAGGGCATACATCGATGTGAATTCGAATCCGACGTCTCCGGAGTTCGTAACTGACCCCTTTGACAGTGTGTCACAGCGTTCCTGTTTACGTTTTGGTGATACTTATTTTCTACTTAATCATGTGAAGCACTATTAGAGTGTTAAATTAGGCGTTTACATTGTACAGCGGTTACTGTAGTTACAATATAAAGTTAAGACGTTACGTCTACATGTAATAAACAGTTGTTTTTTAAAGTTCAAATTAGCTTATGTGCAGTAAACAAAGGTAGAGGCAGATCTACGTTCGAGGAGGAATTGTTCCTTCTACGTTGCAGTAATCGTTGCCATGCGCTAAGTTTTATAAAGTTGAGCGAATCCACAATTCAGCGCTTGCCACAAACTACAAACCTTCTGCTTATGCAAACGGCTCAAAGCAGCGATGGAAACGAAAGCAAAACACACCTGGGAGGCTGAGTGAAGTGTCAGCTTCACATTTTTCGTATGCAGCGATCTGCCGTACGAAGCGGTCTCCAAGAAGCAGCTGTACTGTTTTTTTTCTGTAGCAAAATTAATGTTTGTTAATTGCACGTGGAAATAAATTTATTTGTTCGTTGTAGCAAAATTCATAAATCAGAAGAGCGTAGATTGAAGAATAGGTATAGCGCGTTTTTTATTGAATAACGAAAGTTCCTTTGGAAGATCTTATCGTAATTTGTGAATTTATACCATTGCTGGGACTCACATTGCCTCAGAATTGTGGATTTTTCCATGCCTGCTAAGATAAGTAACAGATTTCACTGAAACCGGAGTGTGCAATGACGAAATTTGTGAATGTACTTTGCTTTAGGCTTTGAAATGTTAATGGACGAAGGTCGCTCGATCGAACTCAGTACGTTGCACGACCTGGTAAGTCGAGTGACCACCGGGCTGACCGACATGAAGATATCGTTCGTCGCGTACATCAAGGTATGAATGCGATTTTGCGACTTACGCGGCACGCTGCTTTTCCACAAGCACTCCCCTCTCGGACTAGTGTTGGGGGCTTGTCATGGAGACGGTCGTTCTAACGATCGTCAGGCTCAGACTACTGTTGAGCAGTCAGAAACAACACTGGCTTCGACGCATAATAAGGCCTAACTGACAGGACAACGTGAGGGATGATTCCCTTCTCAGCGTACATGTATATTAAGTAGAAATGTAAACATGGGAAATGACACTGTTCCTGTTAGACACCCACTGAATGAGCATAATGACCTTATTTTATTCTGACAAGTGAACCTTTCACATGGAATTCGAAAGACATCACGTCAGACGTCGCTCGAAAGGCTGCTACACCGCAGATTAACATGGCAAAGGCTGAGGGATGCTGTAACATTGCGTTTGGAGAGGGATACAGTAACTGGTGCCTTTTAGTGATAGTTCTGCAAAACCGTGAATGAACGCAATGGCCTCTTAAACCTTACAGGTTCTGCTAATGCAGACGGCTCAAAGTTATGATTGAGCCAACAACTCGCTATCTGTGTGATAACCTCGTGGTACTGGAAATTAGGCAGTGTTGAGCGGGAAGAGATGCGGAGCACTAGACTGCTGAACGACAGTCGTATGAGCGGTGTGCCTCTCATTGCCGTGTCATTGAAGGTTCGGGACAGTGCTATTACCTCTAGGCTTCTATTCAGATTCCAGGCATTCTCCTCAAAAACACTTGGATAGGTAATCGCAATTGCTTTTCTGAAGTTACTTGAATCAGCAGAAACGTTACGTAGAGATGTTAAACATATGCAGGTTTGTTGTGTTGCTAAGACTTTCACTATCATTAGTTTAGCCGACTCCAGTGACTTCCCGGATCGCTGCTTTCCACTTCTGACGATCAGGCGAAATGTCTGACATCGCGTTCATCCAGTCTTTCTTCCACTGTTTGTACGTTTACACTGTCGGCCCAGACAGGACTTAATTTCCTCCTTTGACAGTGCTCCATAGGTCTTAACATGTTCGCTGTTCCGGTGCCATCCAAGGATCAGCGTGGCATTCAGTGTAATGGAGATAATTTCATCTGGTGGATTACGTTTCCAGTTGCCGTTCATTCGGGACAGTGAAGAGCTGGATGACGTTTCAACTGATATGGCATGTGGGGTTAGATATATGATCGATAAATCGTGTTCGCGAGATGATTGGTAAAAACTAATGGTG